TGCTCCGAGGACTTATGCCAGTGTTTTCAGGAAAGTTTTTTTAAAAAAATGTGTATTTCAATTGTTAGCCATAATTGAGATAGTATTGCAAAAATCTCTGTAGCTTATTGACCTGACAGAGTGTAAACAGCTTTTTGGAAGCCTCCTGATATGAAATATTCCAGTCTTTGTATTGTTCTTGTACATGAATTGCACAAAGAGAATAAGCAATAAAATACCAGATGGATTTCCTTTGAAACATAATTACTGTCCAGGTGCAGACCCCACTTTTCATAGTCAAAGATTTCCATCATTTTAATGGGATTCTTTTAAGTCACAGTATCAGCGTCCCCTGACCTGAACCATCAGGCAGTGTGCCCCACATACGGTAACGGTGAACGAAGAAAGGGGTTCACCTCTCAGTCCTCCTTGGCCACTGATATTTTTCCTGAGACTAGCAGTCAAGACGCCCCTTGGTGCCCATCGTGGCAGAGACTTTCTGCAGGGCACACACCTGGCCAGAGGGAGCTGTGCTGAAACTCATTTCTTCTTTGCGCAGAGCCAGGCAAGAACGTTTTTTTATTATTATTATTTTTTCCCCTCTTTTCCTTTCAAGGGAGCAGAGCAATAAAATAATAATAATAATAAAAGGCACAGCCAGTCTCCCCTCCCGTTCTGACATGTTGAGTGCCAAAACTCAGATCAAGTCTTTTAGGCGAAGTGAGAAGGCAATGAAAACAGGGGCTTTATTATAAAGGCAGGGCTGTGAACTTTTTAACTCTCGCACTGCTCCCGGATGTGACTCTTCACACTGCACACAGCTGCTGAATGCTTCCAGCGACTGTGGGTGGTGGGTGAGGAAAGGGGAAGAGGTGGTTTAGCTATGCACAATATTTCCCATAAGAAATAAAGCAATAGAATCTCACCTCACTGCCTGTTTTTCCACATATATTGAGACGGGAATGTATTTATATAACCCTATTAAAAGGGAACACTCAGTAGCAAACTCAGTCTTTAAATAGCTACTGTTCTGCATACTCCAGTCTCCAAACTCCTCAATTTCAACTCACACCCACTTACATTCTTTTGACATATTTCTCAGTTTTTTTGTGACTTTGGGGTCAAATCCAAAACTTACTGAATGCAGTTGAAAGACACCCTCTGAATTCAGTGGAATTTGGATTATATTCTTAGAGCTCAGATACCATGCTGATAAATGCAATAAATTACATAGACAAAAGTTGCCCGTTTTGGGCTAGTTCCACTTCTACAGAAACAAATGGAACCGTTGCTATTGACTGCCGCAGGAATCAGTTCTGGCCCTTCTCTGCTGGTATTTCAGCAGCTCTCAAGACATGTTACAAAGAAGGGGAATATCTCTGTCTCCCATTTACAGATGAACAAACTGAGGCACAGAGCCATGATTAAGCCTGTGGCTCAGGCAGGCAGTGCAGCAGAGCTAGGATTAAACCCAGATACCAGTCCTTGGACCACCCAGTGGAAAAAGAGAGCCTGTTAGCTGCTAGCCATCCTGTGGACTGCTGGTGCTACCAGGTCCTACCGATGCCAGCAGGAGTAGAGGGCAACCAACACCCTCCAGTGAGCATTAATAAACTGAGCAGCTCTTCAAAGCATTTTGTTTTTACCACCAAGATTCGTTATTTCTTTTTTTTTTTTTTTTTCCCCCTCAGCATTCATATTTTCCCTTTGACTCCTGTTATTTTGGTTCCATTTAGCAAATACATTCTGTTTTTTTTTTTTGTTCTTTTTTTGTTTTTTTCCCTGCGTCCCTCCAGCCACCTTAGTTTGCCTTTTTTTTTTCCTTCTTTCCCTTAAAAACTTTTTTCCTCATTCAGTGCACTAAGTGGATTTACGACCCATTTAGGCAGCTTACAGTGGCATTGCTTTTACAGTTCAGAGGCAGAAGGGCCATAAAAAGATTTACAGTTACAGCAAGAGTCGGTTGCATGGAAGTTCGAGATCCAAATTAGACAAAGGGAGCGGGGCTGTGTGAGTGGCCAGTAAAAGAAGCTTGGAAACAAAAACAAATGGAGCTGCTGTTAGAGGAGGAGGTTGGGGCGGGGGGAGAGAAAGAGGAGGAAAAGCTGCCTGTTAACTTCATGTTACTATTGCAACAGCTCTGTTAATTCTGTTATATAAAGCCCTTTTTCCTCCTTTTTTTCCTCTCGCTCAATGTTGTTGTTGGACAGGTTTCCTTTGCAAACACAACTCTCGAACTGGAGAGCAGCAACTTCACACAGTAGTTGAGATCCCAAGGCAGATATTCCCAGGATGCTGGCAGCTGCTTTTGCTGCTGCTGCTGGGACTCCAGGATGCAAACTCCAGAGAATAAAACCTAGGGCATAAGGACTGGGACCAGTCAGAGCGGGGGACTTCAGGTTGAATTGCACAAAGTTAATCTGACTTTTAAAAAAATCTAGAAATTGGGAAAAAAAAAAAAAAAAAAAGACATTATCCTGTGCCCCTGCTAGAGTATTCCTGCTAACTTCAAAAGAAACAAGACCAGGCTTGACCAAATCCATAACAAGCTGAGCCAAAGGGGAGATTTGCCACCGACACCAAGGGAACGTGTCTGGGCACAGAAAGGGAGACTGGAGCTGGAGTCTGCAGGAGGTCAGGGCTGAGCTGTTGTGAGCCCCAGACCGTATGTTGTGCTGTCAGAGCTACGGGCAGGAACTGCTTTGGGAAGAAATGTGTCCTTAAGGGCAGTCTGAAAGGATGCCACGTTTGTTTGGGCCTATAGATGTGGTCAGCCAGATGGGTACAGATACTCACATCTGCTCTATGGGGTCGAGCTTTCATGCAGGCCAGTTATAGTCTGTACCATGGCACTGCACCTGTGCTACTAAGGTTTTTTTGAGGATGTGAGCTTAACAGGTCAGGAATAACAGCATGCTAATGGAGCATCAGGGCTTGAAACTGGTTGGAGTGGGGGTGAAGCAAGCACAAGGCTGTCTGCGCTCACCCACAGAGACAGGCTCTGTTGGAGTGCAGCAGAATGGCTCCAGCAATGTCTCCAGCAAGCCCATATTTGACTTATTTACTTCACCTTGTAGGGCCATTATTGTAGCTATGTAAGTATATGGTCTGGAAACAAGCATAAGTAAGCCGTCTGTGTAAGAAAGACAGTATTTCTCAGTTTTGCTGTAAGTGCTCATTTATTTTAGATAGTTGGAAAGCACGCTATTGTTTTGTTTTTCTTCTCATTGACACTGTATTTATTCTGCTGCTCCCATTCCTAACCAACTTCCTGCTCGAAATATCGCCTTTAGTTCCACATAGATACGGCGCTCTTCACTTCCTGAGGCCGTCACGTAGCGATGCAATCGGGTGACCTTCTGGGCTCCACTCACTTGGGGCCTGCATTTCAGAAGCGGGTGAGCTGTCTGTTAGTTGCTTTGTTCTTAATTTCTGTTGGTGATGGGTACCTTGTTCAGGGTAGCAGCAGCAGGGGAGTTTGTATTTCCTCATTTATTGAGTGTGAGCTTCACTGGTGAAGTTCATGACAATACTGGTTCCCCTGGACCTTGTTTTCTTGGCTTTTTGGCTGTCCTTTGCTCGCTGAGTGCTCATAGCTCTCTGGTGAGATTAGTGTTACTGGTGGTGGAGAGGACACTTGGGATCCTCTGGATGAAAAAACACTTCATAATGATGCACTTTTAATCCTTGTTCTTCTCCCACATTCTCACACGGATGCTAACGCTCAGCTTTCAGGCTATGTATAAGAGGAAAAAAAGAATCAGAATGCTTTCCCCTACATCTTTTTTAGAACTAGTTCTTCCTTCCTCTGAAGAAAGATCTCCTAATAAGAAGAGTGGTAATATGTTTAAAAGCTTTGGCTGGTGTTTCGCTTTCTAGATGAACAAGCAGCCAGCTTCAGAGAGAGGCTTCAGCCTAACCCTGAAATGAAATATCGCCCAGGCCTCTATTAAAATGTAAAAGCAGACTGACGATAGCCAGACGTGCATCCCCTGCCCCTTTCCTCTCTCCTCCTCCCAAGGGCAAGGCAGGAACGCAGCCGTCCCCCTGCAAGCTCAGGCCCGTGAAGCGCACGCTGCTGGGCTGCTCCCTGCACCTTCACAGCGCCGGGCTCTGCCGCTCGGCTGTGTCAGCAGCCTGCCAGCTGGCTCCCTGTCCAGCCCCTGGTGGGTGTGCTGCACAGCCCGCAAGTGACCAGTCATCCGGGACACCGATGGATTTCTGTGGGTGCCACTGGAGGTTTCCAACAGGCCACTGAACCATTACAGTTCTGCCGTGTCAGGGCTGTTCCTCTCGCTTTTGCACTCGATGATCCTTATGGGTCCCTTCCAACTCAGGATATTCTATGATTCTTTCTCCTCCTTTTCGCATCCCTCCCTTGTTCTCGCCATCTCCTCTCTCCTTCTCTCCTTTCTTTTTCAATTCAGAGGGCCTTGAACTCCTGGGGGTGACTTGACAAATGAGAGAAAGCATTGAAATGGAGAAAAAGGGTATATTTTATGAGCAGTGGTTCAAATGTGTTCTTTGGGTCCTATTTTTTTAACGTGAATATGGTTGTGTGGACAATAAAGCAATTTCCATGAAAAATTGCTACAGTGGTAAACTGCATCATTTTGGGGGAAAAAAAAGACTGTGAATGAATACGCTCTTTTTTGATACATACCAGGTCTTTATTTCAGGTAGATTTTCCCTCTTGTTCCATTCTTTTGTTCTTTTCCTTTTTCTTCTATATTTAGACAAGAAAAGATTTATTTTTTTTAAACAGTCATACAGTAACTTTCAGACTTCTTTATTATGACTGTATTCATTTTAAAACCAAATCAGTGTTTCCAATTCAATTGGTAAAAACCTGAAAAACACTTTGGAAATATTTTGAAAAAATGTCTACTACTGCTGAGATTCTTTACAGAACAGAATATGCATTGCCTTGGGGGTGAGCCAACTGTCTTCTTTCTCCATAAAGCAAATAGAAAGGATTTTAAAAGCTAAATTTTAATGATGTCACAGGTCAATACAGCCCGGATGCAATGCCAGGTCTAAGATCATCAGAAAAGGTAAGTTACTTAATTTTTCCATTGAAAAAATGGGAATTGAGCTTGAAATTGTTCAAGCTCCTTCCTCCTCTTGTTTTGCCTTGCACTTAACACCTTCAGAACTGAAGATGAGGACCATGCAGGCCTGCAGAGGACTCAGGTGTCCTCTGTGTACCCCTCCTCCATCCCCAGGTGGGTTCTCCTGTGCCAGGTGATGTTTGGGTTCAGCAGGTGCTGTCACTGCCTCCAGCCCAGCAGGGACATGCACAGGGCAAGTCCCTTGTCCACAGCAGGGCTCAGGCCATCCAAGCGAGCTGCCTATCAGCAATGACTTTTACTTAACCTAGGAGGCCCCCACATCCCCTTTAAGCTGTTTTCAACCGTGTCTCTGAGTGTGTAATGTGCTCCGTAAACAAATAACCTGTGTTTTTGTAACTGGGTCAGCAGGAGCTGAGTTGTACTTCCAGCACAGGACACGGGGAGGAAGTGGTGGGACCAGGAGCAGAAGGGGAGACAGCAGCAGCCTCAGACCCAGGGGACTGTGAGGAAGCAAAATAGGGATTGCTGCCAGAACAAATGCAGAGCCCTTCGGGAAACCATCCCAAGGTTGGAGAACAAGGAGGGACGGGAAGGCACAAGTAATGGGAGACCTTCATGGGAGCTGTTTGTCATGGGGCAGGTAGCTCCAGCAAGGCTCTGCCCCTACTTCCAGGTGGCACATTGCCGTCTTGCTCTGTTATCGTACCTCTGAGGAGGTTGCCTCCAGACACTGAACCCAGAGCCTCTGGAAAGTAAAAAGCATGATGAAGTATTGCCAAAATGAGTGGGAAAAAAAAAGGTGCATTTGCCTGAAAATAACAGCAACTTTGTACATCTCCATATGTGGTCCAACTTTGGGGCTGGAATGAGGATCCTCAGAAGTATTTATGTGGCGAAAGGTCCATGAGGTCTCATCAAGGCACAGTGTTGTGTTAGAGAGAGCAACATCTGGGAAAATTCCTGGGCCTGTTTCCTCCCAGGTTGATGTGCCAGAGTTTATGGCACTCTGACTTGTTTTTTAAATCTTACCTTTCGGATTTAAATCATCACTAAATTTAACTGTGATTAAAAAAAAAAGGCACATCTCAACTTCTATTTACTTAAAAATGAATAAAAAAAAGTCTTATTTTCACTCTTTGATTTCTCTAGGAACTTTAGTGTAATTAGTCTTTTTTTTATTCTACAAATGACTGTGCTCAGCATTGTTTTGGAATAGTTATTAGTAAACTGCAGTTTCAAAACCTGCAGGCGGCACCCAAGAGCACTAAATATGATTTCTCCAAGCTGTCTATTTTTATCGGCCAGATTCTGATCTCAGTCACTTTACGAAGCTTTGTTGGCTGATGTAGATGAGAATCTGGTCCTTTATTTTAGTAAAATGGGGCTTCACTGATTTGCAGTTGGAAAAAAAAATAAAAAAATCTGTCACTGCTTCTTTTTCCCTAGAGTTGACGACTTCATTTTGCTGTTCAGCGGTCCATGGAAGGCTTTTTGGGTGCTGGCTTTAGGAGCGGGTATGGTAATAGAGACCTCTCGTAATGAGCCGGGGAGCTGCGGAGTCTCACCCGCATTGACAGGAGAAAGAGAAATGGCTCACGGGCGAGCTGAAGCAAAATGTGCAGTTACAGGGATACAATAGCGATACAGCAGCTAAGATATCCTGCCAAAACGCTGTCTAAGTAGCCATTAATGGACATCTGAGTTTTGTTAAATAATTAATGTGTCTGTTGTGTTTTTTTCTTATAGATCTTTCAAGGAATTTAGTTTCTATTCCTTTGCATTTAGCTTCTGTTCCCTGAATTGCTGCTTTTGATCCTGTCTTCTTAAGCATTTATAGACACTGGCTGTAAGGCCGTTTTCTAACAGTAGCTCATGTCTGTTATGGCCAGAAACCATTTAGCCCCAGTTTGTAAGGAGGATACTTTGTTCTCATGGTGTAGTTAGGAAACTGAGGCATAGCCCACTGAAGTGGATTTGCCACCGATTTGTAAAATAGGCAAGAATAAGTCTTGTCCTGTGAACAACATAAAGAAAAACTTTAACAGAGCTTTAAAAACTACTGAACGAAATATCTGAATCAGGGAGGTCTTGGTAATACTTTTTTGTCCATCTCTGCTTCTGAGAAATGCCTGTTCTGATATCGTCCATACAGAAAACACCGGCAGGTTTCACTGGCTTGCAGTCTCACTTTGCAAAATCCTGCGAAGCAGAAATCTCAGATAACCGATGGAGTGTGGAAGTGCTGGTAAGAACCAGTCCACCAGAACATAAGAGGTCCTTTTCCATTTTTTTCCTCGATGTTTCTGCCACTGGGCTGGCTGCCCCAGGTGACTGGAGAAGGGTCCCTTCGTGGTCACTCCCAATGCCTGAACACCTGGGGAATTTTCTCTACCTTCCTCCAAATCCCCGGCTATCAGTAAGAGAAGGACGCTGGGTGCAATATAGCAACTTGTTTTCTTATCTTCTTATCACTGGTTGTTTTCCCTGAGTGTCCAGTGACCACTTTGGCTTCAGCTTGTGCTTCTCAAACCAATATAATCCTAGTATTAGTGGCTAGATCAAACACTTCCCAAAGACCGGGGAGTAAGCAGAGCTGAGTTTTTGGTTTGGCCGTTGCTGAACGTGGGGGAGAGTCACCAACTTCAGCTGCAGATGTGGGTGTGGATGCGGCCAGACAGGGCTGCATGTGCAGGGGGTTGGAGGCAGCTGCTGGGTAGGGCCCGCTCAGCACCTTGTGGGGAGCACGGTGCCCGGCACGCTCCCACAGGCAGGTAGGTCACAAGCTAAGGAGCGAGCTTAGCTCCGAACGATGGCCAATTCTCTGAAAGAACCCAAACCTTTCAGCACATCCGCTTAGGACAAGGTGTTTTTCCTCTTCTGAAGCACAAAGGAAGGAAATGTATCTTCAGGAAATGGTTATTTTATCGCCGGATTGTCTGAAGCAATGTTCAACAATACCCGGAAAAAAAAATCCCTGCAAAATTAATATAAAAATATGAGAGCTTATTGACAAATTGTGTGAATTTTATGAGCTAGAGAAAACACAATGTTCATTTATGCTCTGTGCTGATGCCAGCAGCTAAGAGTGTGGCTGGGACACCGTGATGCTGCAGCTGTGGTGGCTGACCCAGGGACCCCCCCTGGGCCAGGGGAGCCAGGAGGCAGGCTGCTGTCATCTCAGCTCTTCCCGTGTCTTAAACCCTCTGTTAGAAAACAGAGCAAGTGAGGCACTTAGCAGTGTAAATGTTTACATGTTGGAGGGAGAGATGCTACTTAACACCTAACCCAGAGCAGTAACTTAAACCCCCAAACCTATAGCCAGCCTCTTTCCTTCTTTGGGCCCTGGGAGATGTTAGTCACATTTCTTCTGAATATCGTGGCTGTGCTCCCCCTCCTTTTTTCCCACCCTTGTATTTCCTAGGCTAGGGGAGCTGTAGAGGAAATCTTGAAGGCAGCTGGTCTGTGGAAATGAAACCTATGAGATTTAATGCCTTGAGTAAGGCTGAAGGAGTTAAAAGAAAAATAAAAGAAATACTTAATTTAGTTCCCTAAAACAGAGCTCTGCCCTGTCCCCTCCTCCCATGCACGCACCACCGACACCCTACCACAGAAAACAAAACCCTCGGTTATTGCATAAGCCCAGCCCAGCATGTCCCTGCAGTCTGCCGCAGACCTATAACCTCCAGCTCCTCCAGGCTGGCTCCAGCCTGCTCCACTCCAAGTCTGAGTTGACTCAAATAAGCATGGAGAGAGGCTTCCACAGAAACCTCTAAATGGGCTTTAATGTCTCCCCACCGTAGGATTCCCGGAATTAATTTGCGTCTGGCTTTTGAAATCAGGGACGCTGTGTTAAGGAAGATGGATGCCCCTAAGAAGTATTGAAAAGAATAAAGGGATGACAGTGGTGGTTTATTTAGTAAGCCTGGCCATGGCTGCAGAGTAGTAAATGTGGTTGGTTGATTGAGATCAGATATATAAATATATATTTTTCCCAGTGGCAACGCCCACATAGTTTATTTATTTATTTTTCCCTTTCACTTCAAGACATCTAAAAACAACACAGTATTTTCTAAATCTCTGTGATTATAAATCTAGAAGGATGGCATTCTTGGTTTCCTCAGAGGCCAGGAGTCTATACCCACAGGAGACAGATGGGAGAAGAAGCCAGCAAGCTTCCTATATTATTGCACTGAATTGCAGGGACTGGTTTTGGCTTACACTGCGTGGGGGAACACAGAGTCTGCACGGAGCACCTCCATTTACTGCTTCCTCTGCGTGCCGCCAGGGCTGTATTGCTTACACTCCCTGCACACAGCTAGAGGAGAAGGAATAATGTCATGTCTGCTCTGCAACCATTTCCCTTGTCCTGCTGCTACGATGTGGCCCAAGCAGATTAGAAGAGCTTTGTGTAACTGTGCAAAGCTGGGGTGAGAGTCTGGGCTGGCTCAGCTCTGTTCTTCCCTTCTAGCTCTGTGCCTTGTGCCAGCAGAATGGCTCCAGTTACTTCACGAAGTGAAGAATCCCCTTACTCTCTCTTGCAGGGCAGCAATGCCTGATGAGACTTTTGGGGACCCCCAAAATATGGATAGGAAACAGAGACCTTTGCTTCAGGATACGCCAGATTGTGCTGCAAAGTGTTCTGACATTTAGAAGTTGAGTTTTAAAAGTAGGAAGTTTAGTTTACATTTTTTCATGGGCTACAAGGTCAGCTATGGGGTAAGATATGGATTTAGATTTACAGCAGTCTCCGAGCCTTGAAGAAAAAAAAAAATAAATCAGGGGTGTTTGATTGTGGTCCTTTGCTTCATCTGGCTGCCTTGGGAACAGGGAGAAGGCTGCCTGTGGTGTTTGGGGGCAGCCCCACAAGGTCTCTGATCCTTCCCTCTCCTTCCTATCATTCACCTCCTCCCAGCCCTACCAGAGTCAAATATAAACTTTCTTAAAATGAACACAAGATTCATTCCTCTTGACCAAGTCTGACTTCCCAGAAAATAAACAGTGATGGCAGAGTTGGCCAGCCCCCCCCTTCCGCTGCTGCCAGCCTCCTGAGAGGCAAAAAATGGAGCAGGAGCGATGCTGAGGCTTTTGCAATAGAGAAACATATGCTAAGTAGAGGGAGCTAACCTAAGGGGCTTCCTGGGGTCCACTGCAAAATGGCAATATTGCGAAGGGTCTTAATTCTCTCAGCTCTGATTTCTTTTTCAGATGTGTCCTGGATAACTGGACCCCACAGTTTCGCTGCCCTGATAACACATCAAAAGGAACCAGGTCAGTAGCACATTGGTGCTATTGTAAGAGGGCTTGTTAGAGCTCAGCACTTAAACAAAACTGATCAGGGAAATAGTTGATTCCTCTTTTTTATTTTATTTATTTATTTATTTATTTATTTTCCCTGTTGCCCTTTGTTTTCTTTCTGTGTTCTCACTAAAAGAATCCCATCTGCTGGGATGCTTCCTCCTTCGGTGCCCGGTAGCGTACTTGAGGCAGCAAAGCTTTGTGGTGCAGCTGCCCTAAAACCACAGGATCAGCCATGACCTTTTGGACTTGACATCCATGAGTTTTCGTAGATTTGCAACCCCACAGGCGCTCCCTGCTCACCCTGTAATTCCTCGGATGCTTGTTTTGAGAGCAGCGTGCATGCAGGTGTTGCCTACGGTGCTAAAATGATTCTCTCTTACATAGCATGGGAAAGAAACAAGTGTAGACAAAATAATAAATACACCTGTATAGGGCTGTCTCCTTTTCTTTAGCAAGCAGTAGATGTGCTGGGACCTAGGTCAGAGTTATCTGATATGTCCCCGATCCCCTTTTCCTGTGCTTGTCATCTTCCTTAGCTCATGATGTTTATCTGACTCTCCTTTCCCAGGACAGGTATCTTTGATCTTGGCTGCCCTCACTGCTAAACAGTCTCTCTTGCAATGAAAGCATGAGCTTCTGATCCCCTCTAATCCCAAAACATCCTGTGCAATTGTGTGCATCTCTCAACTTTCTTCATCTACTAGCAATACGTGCACTCACTCTCTCAATAAATAAATACGTGGTGCCTTTAGAAAGCACCAGACCTGCTCTTGAGGGAGAAGACAGCTGAAATGTTCCCTCTGGGTGGCTGCTCACTGCAGCAGGAGTTGCACAGTGCTGATGTCCAACACTCGGTAGATCTTGCTGCTTTGTCTCTGCTGATGTTCACAGCAGCCTGTACGAGGACAAATGAAATTAATGAAGATTGGCCAAAACTGTAAATTTAGTACCTGCTGCTAATGATGACTTAAAATTTTTAAAATATAAAAAGTAGGCGAAAAGATTTGTTTTCATATTAGGTTTCTATTTGCAGCTTCCTCCGTCGTCTCCCCCCCCCCCAATCTGCTATTTTCCACTATAAGCATTATCTATTCAAGCCAGAACAGATTACAGCTAATTGTTAGGCCCCTCTATTTTTCCTTCGTGCTGTTTTATCTCCTAAGCAACTTTATATGGTACAAGACAAATAATCTGGATTCCTGAAGGCAGAAACAAGGAGTGGGAGTCCGGGAAACTGCCTGCTGATCTAATGCAGTTTTTTTGCAAGTGTGGTTATGGTTAGAAATTCTAAATATGGCACCATGTTACTGTACACACGGCGACTGCACCCTGTGTGTCAATGTCTGAGTCACAGGACTCTAATTTACTGACAAAAACATGTTTTACTACTCTCAGCTGTGAGGAGTCAATAGAGCTAGGAGTGAATGGGTTGAGCTCACTGCATCGAGTGGTAGCAACCAAGTGGCCGGGCTAGGAGCACATCTAGAATTTGCTGTCACTTTCTGAGTTTTTTGCTTGTTTGTTTTTGGTTTTGTTTGACTTCTGAACTGAACGAACTCAATCTGAATGTTACTGCCAGAAACTAAGTTATGGGACCATTATAATGCCTTTTTTCTTTTTTTTTTTTTTTTTTTAATCTTTTAGATAGGTATCCACAAAGGAGACTAGCTGGCATTCCTGTACTCTACACATTCATCCTAACCTTTACTATTGACTGACTCATTCAGTATGCATTTGCAAGAGTTATTAATGGAAAGTATTAAATTAATTTGGCATAATATTTGGTAAATAGGGGGTGTCTTTTCTATGTGCTTGAATTTGTGTTTCAAATGTCTGTGTTTGGGTTATTTATATTAATCTATTTCATGGGCTGCTTAATAATAGTAGCAATTAAGATAATAACAATAAATACTAATAATACTGAGCTCTTCTGCTTTTCATCAAAGGAGGTCAAGACTCAAGGGTATACCTCTGGGACTGGTATAATGTAGATGCGATCTGCTAGTGTTTCTTTTTGTGGAAAGTTAGGAATATCATGCAAAGATCAGATCGCCTGTATTTTGGCCTCTGGAATGTCTCTTAGGCATTATAAATGCCAGTGAGAAACATAAAATTGGAAAGAAAACAAACGCCAGGACATTGAAAAATGTAACCACAAATACTGACCTATTTGTTGTATTTTTTTTCTGATTTAGCAGAATGCTATTAATATTATAATTAAAGCTATTTTGTAGCCCGGGGGATCGAACACCTGGCTCTTATTAGAGCTCGATCCATAGAGTGTGGTGGAAAAAAAAAAAAGACAAGAGGAGATGGCCCAGAGGAGAACACAAGAGGGCACAGTGGCACCTGTGGTGCACTTCTTGTTCACTGGATTTTCGAAATGTGGAGGGCAGAGGTGAATTTAGGCCTATTCTTGCGTGACATAAATAATTATGGTAGCTTTGTTGATGAGTTAGAGTAGTAAAAATGTAAATTTGTCAACTTGGAGTAAATTTTTTACTAAAACAATTTTTTTGTTTAGTTACCAGGGTTAAAGGTAAAATGTGATGACTGTATCATCTGAGGGCAGCATGATAGCTACCCCACGGTGTTTGACAGAATTAGCCTGGGCAGTCACCAGGACAGCTAGCCTCCTCTATTAAATAAGTATAAAAAGTGTGTTCCAGGCAGGTGCTTTTCAGATCCATTCCACCATTCTTCTACTGTATCGTGTGAAAGGAAACCAGTTCAGTGATTTCAGAAGTAAAGGATATCAATGCCACTCGTCAATTCCTGCTCAAGGAAGACTATGTTTCTGCAAAGCCTTTTTATGTGACTGATCGGCAGTGACCCAAGCAAAAGTAGCAGGCGATAGCTGAGCCCTCAGCAACCTCACCCTAACAGACCTCTGAATTGGGTGGTCAGTGGTGAAAATTTACATCTGAAGAGCTGTAGAGAGATATTTGGAAAGAAGCAGCACTGAAATAAGCAGGATCTTCTCCCATATCCTAATATGGAGTTTATAGGTGATGGTCTTCCACAGACATTTAATGCAGGGTAAGTCCTGGGGGAGCAAACAGCCTCTTAGAATCATAGAAACACAAGGTTGGAAAGGACCTACAAGATCATCTAGTCCAACCGTCCTATCACCAATACTCTTGTACTGTGGTCGCTGGCCTAGGCTGGACTTTGTGGAGGAAGAACTGGGGTCAAAATCTGCAAACAGTTGTTTTTGGATTCGTTCAGTCGCTGTTTCTGACGTTTGCAGGAGGTTGCACACCAGGCCTTTACTATGGGAATTGTGGTTGAAACCTCTGACCGCTGTAATGCACGACCTGACATTACTTCACAATTAAAAATGAACAGCAACCTTTCTTTTTTTCTTTTCCTTTTTTTTTTTTTTTTTCCCCAAAGAACTCCTTATCCTCAGGTCCCCAGTACATACTATTCGCCAGACAATTCTCCCATCACAACCATCTCTGGTGGTTTCCTACCCTGCCAGAAGTCAATCAATCTGTCATTGAACATGGAGCTGTGAAAGGAAGATGCGATACTACACTGCATGCAAAAAAGTAAGGAAACAAGATCATTAACATCTTAATATCCTGTCCTGACATCTCACAAATTATTTTAGACTTCATAGCCAATGTAAACAGGTTTGTTTTCAACTCCCCTAATTGCCTGCTAATTGAGAGCAGATGCAGGCCTTAACTTCCAGCAGATAGAGAACAGCCTCTTCTCTAGGGTTTCGCATCTATCATGAGGTCTCTGATGTATGCCTGTGAGCTTCCCTGGTTAGTGATGCTGAGGCAGAGAGGGATGGGAGCTGCTTCTCTTGAATCACGCCTGAAACCTTAGTGAGATGGGAGGGAAAACAGAGCTGTGGGACTCATCAGTAACATCATCATCATTATTGTTTCATTTTGTACTTCAGTGCACTTTCTGCAACAGTGTAGGTTTCCTTTTTGGGGGGGGGGGGGGGAAGTTCTCCGAATTATAGATGGGTTTCTCGTTACGATAGAAATCACTGGATTTATGAAAAATGCATTGCTGTCATATTCCATTATCTACTTCCTCCCATGCTGCAGTTCTGTAGCTTGCAAGTCATTAGATTCTTTCTCAGAGTTCCTTTGAAATAATCCTTTCAAAAAACACTGTTCATTGGGTATGACCCCAGAGAGATACTGTCTGATACTAAAGCTCTCTTTTAGTTCTGCGAGGGAGACCTGTAACAACAAGATAAGTGCATGTATATTCCAAGTAATGTCTAGAGTTTGCTCCCTCCCATTAAACGCAATGGGAGCTCACAGTTCAAATGGCAGAATTTTGCTTTGTAAATGTAGGAGAAAATTTAGTTCAGATACATAGGTAAATTTGCATTTGGTAGTGATTTAATGTTCCATGGTCTGTTTTAGTTCCAACTTAAATATTACATTAAAACCAGCAATAAAAAAAAAAAAAGCATTCTAACTGCTGGCTTCAGAAAGAGTGGGTATGATTTTGTTGTTGCTGTCAGTGTAGCAGTGAGATGCCTTTTGCTTTTTCCTCTTCATATAGCAACTCAGCAGCAGCAGTTAAATAATAGCCCTCCGGTCTTTCTTCAGGACTGTTTTTGCAAATGAAAGCAGGAACTTCAAATCCTTGTGTTTTCCATCTCACTTACAAGGTGTTTGTGAATTTTAAAATTTTTGCATCTCTTCACAAAAAAGCTGATGAGCATTAGTTAAGTCTTCTGGGTAAGAAGTACCCTTGGTGCAGGGAGGCTGCCTGGGTTTGTGCCACTGGGTTCAGAAGGTCATAGGAGGATATAAAAAAAAAAAAAGAAAAAAAAGAAGGAAAATAAAAGAAAGCAATAAAAATAACAGTTTGGTGGTTTGTGGATGATAAATGGATAGAAAAAAGAGGGAAGAGTTCATATCCAACTCGAACGTATTGAGGCGCACCTGGGGGACAAAGCAGTCATTGGTCCCAGCCAGCATGGGTTTGTGAAGGGTAGGTCCTGCCTAACTAACCTGATTTCCTTTTATGATAAGATCACCCGTATGGTGGACCAAGGGAAACCAGCTGATGTGATTTTTTTGGACTTCAGCAAGGCTTTTGACACAGTTTCCCATAGGATCCTACTGGACAAAATGTCCAGCATACAGCTAAATAAAAACATCATACGGTGGGTGAGCAATTGGCTAACGGGCAGGGCCCAAAGGGTTATGGTGAATGGGGCTGCGTCAGGCTGGCGGGCGGTCACCAGTGGGGTCCCTCAAGGCTCCATTTTAGGGCCGGTACTTTTCAATATTTTTATAAACGATCTGGATGTAGGAATAGAAGGCATTTTGAGCAAGTTTGCTGATGACACCAAACTTGGAGGAGTTGTGGACTCGAATGAGGGTGGAAAGGCCTTGCAGAGGGATCTGGATAGGTTGGAGAGCTGGGCGATCGCCAACCGCATGAAGTTCAATAAGAGCAAGTGCCGGGTCCTGCACCTGGGACGGGGAAACCCTGGCTGCACGTACAGACTGGGCAATGAGATGCTGGAGAGCAGCCTAGAAGAGAGGGATCTGGGGGTCGTGGTAGACAACAAGTTGAATATGAGCCGGCAGTGTGCCCTGGCAGCCAGGAGGGCCAACCGTGTCCTGGGGTGCATCAAGCACGGCATCGCTAGTAGGTCGAGGGAGGTGATTGTCCCGCTCTACTCTGCGCTGGTGCGGCCTCACCTCGAGTACTGTGTGCAGTTCTGGGCACCACAGTATAAAAAGGACATGAAACTGTTGGAGAGTGTCCAGAGGAGGGCTACGAAGATGGTGAAAGGCCTGGAGGGGAAGACGTACGAGGAACGGCTGAGGGCACTGGGCCTGTTCAGCCTGGAGAAGAGGAGGCTGAGGGGAGACCTCATCGCAGTCTACAACTTCCTCGTAAGGGGGTGTCGATGTCAGTCAGAAATACCTAAAAGCACCTGGCATCTGGATATTAAACATTGCTCAATCCCAGAACCACAAAACCTTCAGGTTTCCACTCCAATTCCCTCACGAAGCCTTGTCCAGCCGCTGAGCCCGTTTACCCTCGTGGGGCTGGCCTGAGGCCTCATTGTGAACAGGGAGTCACCCTGCTGACATTATGGCTCTCTGGAAAGCTGCCATAAACCTCGCAGAACCAAATCCTGGTCTAGCAGCGATGCAGGCAGTTTAACAGGAGGGCAGGGGGCTTGATGTCGGTAGCACGAGGCATAACAGAGTAAAGCAGCGGTCCATTAAATCAGCGCACTGGGGCCTAGGCATTTACAGTCACACAGTCAGATGTTTCCAGTAATTATTTCCCCAAAGCATTTTTATTAGGTGCTCCATAAATAATATTCACTGCCATGCTCCTCTCACGGTCTTTTTTTTTTTTTTTTTTTTTTTTTTAATAAGGAGAGAGAGAAGAGAAATGGAATTTGCTTTGCCTTCAGCTGCTTCAGCTGGATTTGGGGGTAACACTGTCTTTCAGCCCTCCTGAAGCAGACATGTGCTTGGAAAATAGGAGCAAAGTAGTTCTTTGAAGAACAAATGTGACTCCCTATAACCATCACTAGACTAACTTAATGAGAGGCAAGTTTCTGTTTGAAATTTAGGTTGGCCTCCTCGCCATGGATCCCATGGACACCTGAGATGGACAGTCAAGGAAGCAGTGGAATTAGACTAGGACTTCTGTGTTTGATTTTTTGTTTTTTTGTTACATTATTTATTTTTAATAGAGTTTACCTAGTTCAAACCCAGGGTCATCAAACAGCATGGCCTTCTCCTCTCTAGAAAGACCTTCCCAAAGCTCAGCACTGTCGCTGTGTGTTTAATCTGCTCTGTACATGCAGCACTTGCTGACAGAGGCTGGCTTTCTCATGGAGGCTGTTGTGCAAAGGTTTTTTTTAGAAAATATCACTGTGTTGCCTGAGTTGTTTTAATGTCAAGCACTAGCGCTTCTTTCCTGGCACTTATACATGTGTTTTGCAAAACGTTTTTACTTAGGTTCTTGATTTTCAACATCAATTTTCTAGCCAAATTAAGATTCCCCAAATAAACTTAAGTATCTGGGGGATTTTTTTTTTTTTATATACTGGACTGCAGTATTGTGACTAAACCCAAGCAGAATTCAGGAGCAGGAGTAAAATGAGGTGTAGCCAGCAGCCATGGTTCAAGTTTGCTGCTGTGAGGATCAGCAGGTGTGTAATACTTCTGTCTGAGCTTAAAATCTGTGCACCAAATGTAGATGTGCACAAGGAGCACAGCAGTTGCTACGAGTTGAGCAGAAACTAGAGTTTTAAATAATGAGGGGGTTTTGCTTATGGCAGTTCTCTGTCTCCTTGGGTTTGGTGGCTTTGTTCACTGGTAGTCTCCACGTGTGTATATGAAGGTACAGTGCCTGTGGCTGTATTTCAGAGGGAGCAGAATATTTTCAATTGAGCTAAAGCCAGTGGTCTAGGGCTATCTTAGCAGCCCTGGTTGCTAGCCAAAAGGCATAATATGTTGATTTGATATATGATCTAAGATTTGTGTCAGACCTAACACCCCCTTGCGCCTTGCCTGGAAGAGCCCTGTGAGAGCTCTTCCCATAGCTCTGCTGAAGCCTGCTGTAGCTGGAAGATGCTCTGCTACTGGCCATTGCTTCAGCAATGCCAGGGGCTGTAGTCCGTAGAAAAAGATGAATCATCTGTTTCTCTGAAATTATCTTCTCCAGATAATTTCTCGCTTCCTTTTGTTCTCTGTTTCATTTCTGGGCTATTCAAACTGGGGAAGTTGCAGCCCGAAATTAAATGTGAACCCAGCCCATTCCATACAAGTGTACATATCCATTTAGTGGTATCGGAAGACTCAGTTCAGTGAACCCAAGCCATTGGCGTTTTATACTTCCCTCGTGCTCCAGCAGGTTATAGATTAACCCATTGTTATTCCTGTCTGAAGGAGCAGAGAAAAAGATATGCTCTGCAAAGACCATCATTATAAAAAAAAAAAATCCATTGTGTTTTTAAAGAAATGTTTTATTGGAACCATAAGGTTTCTTTTTTTTTTTTTTCCTTTTTTTTTTGAGAGAGAGAGAAAATTTGAAATCCGGAGTTTATTTTTCCTTCAGTGTCTCTCCTAAGAACCAACAGGAATTGAGATTTTTTTTCTCTCTCTTGTGTTTGTGCCTACTTATTAAACACACATGTGGCCTGGATTCCTTGCGTAGGTGCAAAGAGGTTTGAAAAAAAAAGAGAAAGAAAAAAAGGTGTAACCCAGTCCATTGACCTGTCTCTTTGCCCTTAGGACTCTTTCGAACAGCTGTGAGAAAAAGAAAAAGGAGGGAGGAAAGAGAAAAAAGGAGGCAGTTTAACAAGCCAAATCCAGATGTTCATTTCATACACACACCCTGAACAGCTTTTGCATGGTTTATTTCATTTTCTGAAACCATTTTTCACCAGCCTGTTTTCTCAGCTGGGAAACTTCTGGTGTAGTGTTTTCAAAAAAATATTGCATTTGGCATTACAAGAAAACAGAGCCTTTAAGACATTAAAAGGACAATATCCTTGTTTGACTTGGCTAAGAGAAGCAGGGCTATAGGAATTTTAGATTTTTGTACCACCCAAAGAATAGGTAAAATAAATTTTCCACTCTTAAACACAGTTTACATGGGAATTTGAGAGTTGATTTAGCTTGATTTTTTTCCTTCATTTTAAAGACTTCTCTGAGGAGTTTGTATTAGTTTAGTGGGACTTTATTAGCATGAAGGGATAAGCAAACTGATAGAGTTTAGTTCACATCTACATTTGACAAACTGCGATCTAAAACTCATACTGAAGCTGAGCAATACTTACCTTCATTTTGCGAGGACTAGATCTTGATACATTTGCTCACACCAACACCTACGCAGCACAGACAGATAGCTGGACAAATTTGAAATGATTTAACACTGGTGCACCTTCTTTTCACTTAAAATGAGCTGCAGCATGTGAACCACAACTCATATTAGCTCTGTGAGTGACACTGATAGCAGTGGGGATGTGATGAGCCAACAGGACAGAATCTGCACTGAGCTTGGAGGTGCCCCAATGGCTGGCAAGTGAGGAATGAAATTAGTGAAAATCAAGTGCAAACAAGACCTATACTGCTGTCACTTAGCTAATTAAAGAGCGTACTACTCTTCAGAAAACTCAGTGTGAAACTGAAGCCAGTGGTGATTTTTTGCTGTCATGGCTTCAGAACTTTTCCCACCTATGTGTCTTACCTGTGAGATCCTACAAGTGCCGTTTACCGTTTCTTATTGTGTTAGAGACTTGATTCAAAAGCCTCCACGTAAAAAATGCACTGTAACTCTGGAATAGGTGTGAGCAACGCTTCAGTGCTCCCATTGTTCAGCTGCTTTAAAACAGGAAAAATTGCAGATATACTTACCAGAAATCTCACCATTCTGTATAGGTTCCAGGACCCAGCAGCTAAGAAATTAAAGCAAAAGATTGGAATTGTTAGTGAGAAAGGGTGGAAATCAGGCAAGTTCAAATTTAGAATTTTAAGACTTACATTGTGGTTAAATTAAATAGAAGACAAATAGAGAGAGAGAGAGAAAAAAAAAAAAAAAGAAAAAAAAAAGAGGCATGAAAATACCCTAATTGGAAAAACTGCAACATTACTTAAGTAAATAGAAATGTTTAAGATACTAAAATGTTCCACTCCACACCATGTTTTCCTTTCACTTTGCTACTGCTAAAATAAGGGCAAATCATCAAGTTTCTGTCTTTTGGCATTTCAGAGCATTCAAGGATATGGTGTATGTGCCTGTAGATGTGTGCATCGTTAGGCCTTGGCAGTGCCAGGCGGTGGAAACACTGGCATTTTGGTGTCAGAACACCACCGAGTGGGCTATAAATACTTGGTCCTTGTACTAATATTCTCTTTAAGCAGAAAAAATAAAAGTAAGAAAAATCTAATTAAGGCTTAAAATGCATTAGGCAGATTATTTGGCCAGTGCAGAACTAGAGTGGAAAGCTGCCAAGGAATACTAGTAAGTTCTGTTGAGCAAACCGGTAGTCTTTTTAAAGCCACCGGCTTGGTACACAATCTGTGTAATCCTGGAGAAAGCAGATACTGTCAGTCCATTTCAGGAGACCACAAATTTGTGATGTAAAGTAGTGCAGTGCCCTGAGTGGTTTTTTGTCTCCTCTTTATCTGGTAGCATTCATTGTGCAGAGGTGTGTGTGTAGGTCTGTGTTTTTGTATGTATGGGTGCTTATACATAGATAATTACACATATCTATAGAAAAAAAAACAAAACATATAATAATTAGTTGATTAAAAAGGACAGCCTGTGAGGATATCAGACCAAGGGCCCAGGCAGCTTCACATCTGGCTTTGGGTAATAAGATAGGCCACTAGCTAAGTTCAGAGATAGCTAAGTCTAGGGACTTCTACACGGATATTGTCAAGACTCTGTATTTGGAAATATTCTGTTGGTCGGTATATGTACACCGCCCCTATATATTTGCCTTGGGAAATGTCATTTTAGGGTCTCTCTAAAAGGCAAGCAATCTGGTTGGAAATACCAGTGCATAGATCTCTCTGGGATGGCAGATGCCTTAAAAGGCACCTTGGAGCTGGTGTCAGGGTTGCATTCAGTGCTTGCACAGTGCATTGCGGCTTGGCCCATCAGTGGGCGCTTGTAATACAAAGTCAGTAAGCAGAGTGTGAGAGCAGGAGAGAAAATGAGGAGGGAAATGGGCTGGATGGGGGATTTGCAATCCTGTTGCCCTGTAGTGTCAGGCTGGAGTCTTCCAGTCATGTAAAGGGAAAATAGTAAACCTGGTAAAGTGTGAAGGCTCTTATCTGATTCTTTAGCTCTATTATACCTATCCATTGGTTAGCAGAAGGCACTAATTTGATCTCCTTCTTTAACTCTCTCTTCTCAAGGCTGAACAAATTCACCTCCCTCATGTATTCAGTCCATGTTGATAGTCCACTTCTGGGCTAAATCTGATGTGCTGATATCCGTCTTGCACTCTGAGGAGGGTAAATGGTCCAACAGTGGAACTATGTTCTAGTTGTGGTCAGTATTTTGTATTAACTATCTCCTCTGTTGACATCGGATGCTCAGACCTCAGACATAATTGTGGTAAATCATCTCTCATTCAAATGTTGGAAACATCAGGGTGTACCTGGTCAGCCTTCTTGGAAGAGTCTGTTTCCTGGACACACTGTACCCAGCACATCCCGTCCCATTCATTTGGCTCTCTCTGATAGCAATACAGCTAATTGCTTTTTTTTTCCCATTGGTGAGCTGGCTGGATCATCCTGGAGGTGCTGTGTTTGTTTTCTTCTCTGACCATGCACTCTTATGGATTTAACAAAGACACCAGAAACATCTAGGACTAGCAGAAGGAGAGAAGAGCCCTCCATTTCTATTTCTATGAATAATTTAGTGCCAAGTTAACTGAAACGCTTGAAAAAGATTTTTGGTGCCTAGCTTCATTAAACCCTCTATACCCAAATGTATTCTCTAACAGCATCAGCATCCGACACTTCATCTTGTCCCAATCACAGCAAAGGCCTTGTAGAAACAAAATGCAGGGGAAGGGAGAAGAAAAGCAGATGGTTGCTGCCATCACACATGTCTGGGTGTGTGCACGTATGCTCTATAAACTTATATTGAGGGGGGGGGGAATCTATAAGAGAAGAAGGAATGGATCCCCAAGCCACTTCAACCTCCCCAAATTTATGCCCTGTTTGGGGATACTAGCGGCGCTCTGTCGCACTGAAGAGCACTGTGCTGCATTCTAGCCCCCTTCTATGAAGCAAGTGTTTTAAGCAGAATATTATATTCTTGTCCACTAAGCTTTTACCAGCAGGACGAGTGGGACCTCATTCGCTTGGCAGTGGTTTCTGTCAGCGATCTGTCTTCTGCAGCTATTTCCGTGGGAAGGCCTTCCATCTGGCGCTTGGCAGGGAGGGGAACTTTCCTCTCAAATGTTTTCTCTCTTTTTCTTTCTCTTGCCCTGTTTAAGGTATACCCTTTGGAAGTCTGCAGCTTCCAAGATTTATTTTTGCACTGAGTGCATACTTTGTTTTACGTGGTCTGGCTTTCTTTTCTTCTAACAAAACGCTGCCCCCATGCCCTGCTTATCCTGGCAGAGGGAGAAGAATGCTGTTTGCCTTAACATTACCTTCAGTCTCAGTATGCAGCAGGTCAAAAGATGTGACAAGTACACATGCTAATCCCTTTCCCTTTCAGTTAATAGAATAACACAGATGGGAAAGTTTACATTGGGATCTGACACTTGCTCCAAGCGAAAGTTAAGAGAGAGATGGGTTGGACATTGCCTTTCAGTTCAGAGCGGGGCCTACACAAACTCACCTTCCCACTCGGCACCAAGGAGCTCCTGTCATCCTAAACCATGTTTGCTCTGCTAAGAATTTTCCCTTTCCCCTTTGCTCCTCTTTTGAGAGCAGTAGGTAGAATTGGGTAATGCGTTGAAAGCTTTTATAGAATGAAATATTCCACAAGAATTAGTGACATTCAAGTGAAAAAATGCCAACGTTTTCCATTGAAACACCACCATTTGTTTTAAAATGGTGATTTTTTTAAACATTTGACAGTCCTGAACATTGAAGTGTCATGTAAGAAAATAATTACCACTAAAACCAGATATTTTCTTAGAAATATTAATTTGATTTCAATAAAACCTCATACTACCAGCTTTGTTTTGGTATAATTAGACTATTTACATCTGATTTGATTTGATTTTCTGTTTCTTTGTAACCTCCAGAATATGTCCTCTGACGTTGAGCACGGCATATCCCATTTGTAAGTCTGCATACCTGAAGATTAGCTACTTATGTGAGTCCTGCAAGAAACAGGAAAGAATAAGACGTAAGGTTATGCCTCTGGTGGGAAAGGCTGCAGCACTCTCCAGAAGGGTTGATCCATCACACTAAGTACTGCTGTCTGCCCCTCAAGTACGTACCACCCCACAACAACTCTGATACCGTGAGAACCCACATGCTCACTCCCCACTTGGGAGCAAGCTTCTGGTACACCTGAAGCTCCTTAAATTTAAGGTTTTGAGGGTATCTCTAATGAGATTAATATCTAAGATCTATTCTGGCAGACATGGGTGTCAGTCTAAACACTGAGAAACTGTACTTTATGGTTTTTTTTTTGTTTGTTTGTTTTAAGATTTTAAAAATGAAGCTGTGTGCCAATTAGTAGAAATATGGTTAGAAATGCAATTTAAAACATTCTAAGTTTTACTGCCATAGACACATAATTGCATTGAACTTGCTAGTAATGAAAATACTTATTTTAGCTTGTATTAGAAACTGCCTATAAGTTTTGCATAACCATGAATGTATTGTTCATGAGAAGCACTGTTAGCGACCTGCTTTCTGATGAGAGAACTAATGTTTGTGTTTGAGAATGACTGCCTTTCTTTCAAGTCTCTTTCAAAATGTGCAGTTTCAGAATTGCCTTTCCCATATTGCTGTAGCTATTTCTCTGAATTTCAGGGCAGACAGGGTTGTATATCTTTCAGCCTGCTACCTACTGTTAGCCTTGATAGGTCCCTAATGCTTGTTTTACAAATCAAGGTTTGGCTTGCATTTGGTTTGGTCTGCTACAGGCTCTGGTAAAGACGTGTTTAATGAACAGGAAAGCTACAGCTGAAGCTCTATGAAAAGGCATATGAAACGACTAGGAATAAGAACTAGCAGCGGTTTCACACACTAGGATTACCTGGCTTGGAAACGAACAGTGCTAGGGGGGCACCACGGCCTACGCAAAGCCAGCAGTCGTGTTGCAGTGTACATAACAGTCATACAGATCGCCGTCTCTGGCCTGGCAGCAGCTGTGAGGCTCATTCATGCCGCGCAGACCATGCAGAGGAGAGCAGAGCAAGCTGAGTTAGAAGCTTGAAGCCTTAAACCTAAGTGAAGGGTCCCCCTGGAGCAGCGGAGAGGTGCCTCCCTGCAGGGAGCATGAGGACGACCAGCTTATGCTAAATGCTGGAATCCTAGTGACGTGAGGAAGATTGTACCATGAGGGCTGGTACACTGAATGACTTAGATACACAGGCCAGGATTCATGATTTCCCACTTTGGCCGCTTCTGTGAGGGTTTAGATTGGAAGGCATGCAGATCTTTCTGACTGATGAATGAGACAAGCACCTCCAGGGGAGGTGAGTGTCCCACAAAAGCTTTGATCTAACTTCTGGAGGTGTCTTTCTTTCTCCTTTGTAGACAAACCTGAAACAACAACAGCATTTTACCTGATCATCATTGCAGTGATTCAGTGTGGGTCAGGTGAGTCCAGCCTGATTCCTACACAGGAACCAACATTCCCACTGGTCCTGGTGGAAATTCAGGCTCCTTATTTGGGGCAAGGAAACTTCAGTGCTTCTGTCAGCCCGACCTTTACTCTCCATTGTAATTTCATTCCTGACTTCTTGGCTAAGAGCTCTAGCAACGGGGAATGATTAGTGCCCCTCACAATGAAAGCTTTTGCAACATGGGTGACTGCTTACAAGAAACACAGCTGAGACCACCAACCGTTTTATTTTTATTTATTTTTTTCCCCCAGATTCTGCTGATTAAGAAGCTCATGAGATCCATGTAATTTCCCTGGAGGTCCTCAGGGAAGCAGCGGTCAGACAATCCTTTTCCAGCCTGCTTTGGGCAACGCTGGTGGTACAGCACTGCTGGCACTGCATTTAGGTTGTCGTGCTGCTAGGTCTCTTAGCACAGGGAGCTAGATGTAGGTTTTTCAAGTCTGCCCAAAAGGGGTCTGATTCAATGCAACAGGCTTCTAACAAACTGTAGGTGTTAGACGGTAAACCCTTTATTCACTGTTATTCTGAGCTTGATTTGAACAAGTAACCTGGCAGTAAATGGCTCTGTGCCCTGAGTTACAGGTTATGAAGAATAAACCAAAAATCTCTCATAAAGGGGCTGGAGCTTGAGAAACTCCATTATTCTTGGCAGTCACCGCCCTAGGCTTTTTTAAAAATAGCCCCTAAACATGAAGAGGTGCCACATGGAGTTTTCAGATCTATATCTGCCTGCAGACCTTTGTTTTAAAATTTCAGGTGCCTTTGTATCTCACTGCACTAGGTTATGATCACAGGCATCACCCAGGGCAGTAGGTAGCATGTAACTTGCGTCATCCTTTGGCTAATTTGAGCAGGAATTTCGGTACCCCTTGGAATCACACTCCTCCCTGCTTCCTCCAGTTTGAGGGAGGCCAGTAATTTGCTGGTGGCTATTTAACCTCAGGAGGCCTTTTCGCCTTCCCGTCTCCTACCCCACACAGCCTAAGATGCTCTTGCCAGCAAGCTGAGCTGAGGCTCGCCTCATTTCCTCCCCTGTAATTCCACTCCCTACTTGGAAGAGAACGGCGGGGAATGGATTCAACTTGCCCCTTCCTCTGTGGCCAGTCTATCCGTCCTTCCTGTGTATGGGAACACAGACCAAGTCACATTGAGTCTAGTAGCAATATAGATAGAGACAAAGCCTGCACTTTAACTGGACCTTGCATCTGAATACCTCAGAGAACTTCAAAAATTACAGTTCTGCAGTGTAAATAAAATACGCCAGCACATCCGTCTTCCAGACCATCAGTCTATACTTAGGACTTGCCTCTACTGATGTTATTTGGAGTATTTCCACGGAGTTCAGCTGAGCTGGATGATCTCGTTAGAAATCATTTTTTGACCTTGTAATTTACAGTTCTTTGTTGATTTTTTGAATCAATGCATTTTCATGTAAGAAAGATCTTTGCTTCCTACTGCAGTAGATATAGCGCAGACCTGATCCCTGTAACCTTACATGCCAGAAACAGTTATGAGATCATGTCCATAACCAGAAGTAAAACCTTTTATAAAAATGTCTCATCTACCCAGGAAATGTGTTTTCATGATGAGGATAAGGCACAGCACGAATACCTGCTCGTTTAAAACATAGAATTAAATATGTGTGCGTGTACATTATAAAATTGTTTGGGAAACACAGCTAAAACATATATATCCAATGCGTTATTAGTATGTTAAGATAGCCTATGTATATTCTCAACTCAGAGATCACATGAATGGTCAGAACAGATTTATAACAAAACATTCAAAATATAGATTATTTTAGAAGCTAAAGAAAAGTTTTCCTTTGCTACAATGTCTGCTAAAAGAGCTGGCAATGCCAGGGAACATGATGTGCTGAGACTACTGCATACCACGGTTGTCTCATAGATCTCCTTTATTTCTTGTTTATTTGTCTCTCTCTCTCCCTCTTTCTCGCCCTACATTTAGGTATTAGGCTCCTTGGGCAGAGTGTGATTTGACATTCAGTGTTACAACAGTCATTACTCCAAAGAAGCCCACAATTTGGGACCGAACAAGTGATGGTAATAGGTACTGAATGTAAGTCAAAAAAAGCACGCTTCACAGCTGAGATTGCATTTAAAAAAGCAGCTTTATAAAAGGTCTATGAGAAAGCACAGGTATTGTACAGTCATACTGAGTTCCTATTCTGTTCCCTGACGAATGACAGCTGTGTATTCTAGGGAAGAGGTGACCACACACATCTAGCAGTGTTTCCTCCTGGTGATACCCTTGTGAGCTCTCAGCCATCCCCAGACATTGGGTCCCAAGTTCGTATTTCATGTGTGTTTCGTATGAATCATATCTCCTCTTGTCACCACAGCATCTCATCACTCTCTTTCTGAGAATTTAGTTGACTCATTACTCCAAGTTTCTTTTTCCTTGGTGCACTTCTCTTTCCCTTCATCTGATACCTGTCCTGCCTTATTCCTTGCCACCACTGTGATACATATATGCATTTCAGTGCCATTTGCAGAGCCTAACTGTGCCGTATGAACAAAGTCCTAGATGAATGGGAGGAAGGAGAAGAGTAGAGTGGCACTGTTCCTGGAAGAGCAGCAGGAAATGGAAAATTTCCATGAATTCAAGGCTGTTTTCAGGCAGCCTAAATTCTACCTATGTTCTCGTGCCTAACGTTATCCACAACATATTCTAGACCTTCAGGGTTGCCAAGCCAATAGGAAACCAAAGCTGAACTAGGAGAATTAGATGGAATACAGCTGTTGGAGGCCACATGAGTTGTGTCCTTTGTAATCATGGAGCTTACTGGCAAAGCTATGTGAATAATGGACTATTTTTGTTTTTTGACAATTCTGAAAACATGCAGCAAAAATATTTGTAAAGAATGTTTGAGTGTATTCAAAACAATCCAACAATCCAACAATCCATCTTCAAGCAGAGTGTGAACTGAAAAGCTGTCAACTTTCCTTCTTGGTTTAAATGAAAAGTTTTACTTCATTTTTGTTCATTTAATTGTTTGCCTTAATTTAATTTTTCTTTAAATTTTAAGTAAGAACCCTGCAAAATCTGAAGTTGCTTTATAATAATTAATGAAAAAGCACAGGTATTTCTTTCTGAAAATAATGAAAACTAAACATTTAAATGTTTTAAAACTGTATTTACTGTTAGAGATTGTTATTTTAAACCACTAGATTTTGCAGAAAGTAGCACAGAATTGGGGAATATTTTCATTGATCAGAAGTGGGATTTTGGCAAAATCTTTGCTATAACATTTCGTCAGCTCTAGACATCAATCCTGTCTCTTCTCCCTCACTGTGTAAGCTCTGCGGACACTACCAACAACAGTATTTGACTTGATTCAAGGCAGTGGCACTAATGCTTTTGGTCCTTGCATGACCTGTACAAACAGGGAAAAAACTTTTCATCTTCTTGGACTCTCTGACTTTCTAAGGGTATATAATGTAAAGCTGTACACGTCACAGCCAGAAAGGCAAGACAGTCCAAGGAGACAAGAAGATAATTAAGAAAGGAGTTTGCATGACATGCTTCATGTACTTCATATTTCTGTGTGAAACTCTTGGCTCACTGGAGTGTTTTGTTGCAGTCAGCATTGCTGAGTTGTGGGGTTACACGGCCTTTCTGCAGTAAAGTACGTTTGTCTGCATGCAATCAAAAAAAGTGTCTGTGCATCCATTCCCAAATGAAGAAATAATACACCCTCCCTCCTCCTTGCAGTAAGTGTAGCTATCTGTTGATCCTCGTCTCAAATGGAAAAGGTAGTTAAAGTGATGGAAGCGAGGTTAATAAATGAATCTTTACTTCGAAACAGGCCTTTAAAAAAGAGTTAATGACCCCAGAGTACTGAAGATGGGCAATTAATATTCCTTTAGAACAAGGAGGCTGCTGGTGTTTTTCCATAAACTTAAGGTAAAGTCACTATCACATTTTAGTTCACAAAACTAAGTGTGTAAGTTACAAAATTTTTTGGAGAAGTGATTCAGTGAAATAATCTGCTGTTTGCCTAGGATCATCCACAGATGTGCTGGAACATCGTTCAAACCTCTTTTTTTTTTTTTTTTTTAAATAAGATGTCAGTGGGATTGAATCAACAATGATCATGTGAGACATGTTTGGTGCAAGTGATTCTCATGTGCAATTCATATGCTGTACATTGAAAACACAAAGTTTGGAAAAAAAGGGACCTGTGTATCTGGAAAGCAGAAAGTTAATGCCTGGCAGAGCTCAGCTGTGAATTTTGCATGAGAGAAAAGAAGAATGAATTAAAAGTGAACATGGTCATACTGGAAAAAGTTCAATAGAGGACCACTGATGTGATCGAGGGACTGGAGCACATCTCCTGTGAGGAGAGGCTGAGAGCTGCTGCTGTTGAACCTGGAGAACAGGAGGAGCAGAGAGGATCTTATCAATTCATATAAATACCTGTAAGGAGGATGCTAAGAAGATGGAGCTAGGCTCTTTTCAGTGGTGCCCAGTGCTAGGACAAGAAGCAATGCGCACAAACTGGAACAGCAGAGGTTCCCTCTGAACATCAGGAAGCGCTTCCTTACTGTGTAGGTAACAGCAGTGGCGGAGGTTGTGGAGATCTTCAAAAGCCACCTGGACATAGTCTAGGTGCTTCAGGAGTCCCTGTTCAAGCAGGGAAGTAGGATCAAATGACTTCCAGAGGACCCTTCCTGTGATTCAGTGAAATCTATGGTGCATCTCAAGGCCCGATACCTCTTTTTTTTATTGTTATTTTTCCACTGCACACAGAACTGTGGGGTTATTTTCCTTTCACAGATTGAGAATATGTTTCCTTTGAAAGTATGATTCCAAGTAGTTTAAGGAAAGAGCTTCTGTAAGACCTTTCCTACCCCTTTTTCCTACTTTTTATCTTTTTATCTTACTGTGGTATCCCAAAGGGTGGTGTCCCAAAGGCTGTGTTGTGACTGATCTTTTTTTATCCTTAGCATAGATTCTAAGCTCTCATCATGGTATAGCAGTATCTGACAGATGATGCCTTGTAATGGTGCAGTTGTGAGTAAATAAAAGAATTCTGGTTAAGGCTGAGCCTTTAGGAGAGCAGAGCTGTCTCTCTGCCGTGGTTATGGTGACAAATGTAAAACATTTGTACAAAGGGAATATATTGGTCACCAGCTGTTATTATAAGCCTTCCACATTACTTAATGACCAGAGCAGGCCTTAGGCAGCCAAGCAGGGGACTGTATGGCCCCTAAGTGCCTCTCACAGCCTTGTAAAACCAGAGCATGGTCTTGCCCTCTCTTATCTCTAATGCTACTTGCGAAACAAACATGCTGTATTTGGCCTGCTAACCATAGATGCAAACCACTGCAGAGCTTGAGGGTGTTTCATTAGAACTCCATTAAAAATGAACAATCTTTTTTTTTCTTTTTTTTTTAAATCAGAATCCACAGACTAAAATCTCGCAATATAAAACCTACCCAGTCTCCTTTGCCTTTCTTGTGGCTATCAGCGTGCATTGCTTTTAATCTGCAACGTTTGCAACAGTTAGGAGTGGCAGAATACTTCTACTTATTTATCTGTTTATTTAAACAGTTTTAAAACCCTGCACAAAGCTGAGCATAGGCTCGTGAAGAAGAACTAGCAAAGGCTTGGTGTGGCATTGTTTTGTTCTGCTTTTAGATGCAATTTTATCCATTGCTGCAGCAGGCTGTTCCTCTTTTAACAGCTAGGCTCTTCAAAACCATGTGCTTAGGATAGCTTATGAATTGCCAGCCTAGATACAGATGATTATGTCTGGCAGAATATCTTGATGGCATTGGTGGTAAGGGAAAAGCATGTGCAGTGTTATTGAAAGCTGCTGGAAATATGAGACCTGCCTGGTGCCTCATGCCATCCATGATCACTGATGGTGGTTCTGAAGTGACAGCCTGCTTGATACTGGTTTTAAACTATTTTCCCTTAGAAGTGGCAAGCTTGATGGATATATAAAACAAACTTTAAGGGAATTTAAGACAGATGAACTCTAGAGTTGTGTTTTGAGTTGAGACTATTAGGGCCTGGGGTAATTACATCTGAAACCAACCCTGGCCTACGCTAGCATCAGTTGTTAGTGAGGTATTTACATATAGATGCCAAAAAAGGGTCAATAAATGGATGAAAAAGGGGAAAATAGACCATTGCTTAAATATATTGGAAGATCAACAAAAACTCATGAGGGCCTGCTGTCATCAGGAGCCAGGTGAAATGCAGGCGAGATGTTCTCTGTGGTGTCACTCATATTTCAGGGAAGCAAGTGGCAATAAACCAAAGTCACCAGGGAGCCAAGTTCATAGCTATGGTTTGATGAAGCGTCCAGGTTCAGCACAAAGAACCTCAGCCTTGCAAATTCGACACCCTTAAACTAGTAAAACATTTTCTTTTTAATTCAGGAACTATGAATCTCACTTGCTCTTTCAGCCACACAACAAATTGGACAGACAAAAGGGGTCACATTCTGAGAAGTTACATTTAACTCTGCTCACCTAAGCTGCATTTGGAAAGCAGGCAGGTATGAAAGTTCATAAGAATTTGCACTACACTATTGGGATAATGGTGTAGAGTGTTTGCAACTGCTTTTTTTTTTTTTTTTTTTTTTTTTTTTACCATCTTTCTTTTACCAAGATGAATTGAGAATTCAGAATCTCAGAGTACTTGGCAAACCGATAACTTCAGCATCTTTTGGCACACTCTAACCTAATCATACTGAAAAATTGTGTTTGATCTTTATTCTCTAGGGTACTACTTGTTTATGTATAAACAAATTCACATTTTGAAATGAAAAGTTGATTGTACTAAGAAAAAAAACCTTTAAAATGTTTCTGCAGTTTTGAGATAATTATTTTCTCTCTCTCTCTTTTTTTTTTTTTTTCAGTTGGAAAAAGCACCAGCCTAATGTGTTTCTATGAAGAGTTTCAAAGTTGGTATTTCCCAGTGAAATAAATATTTTGGAGCACGTTTTCTAGCTTGCGCTACCTGAGGGTATGTGGACCCAGCAGACCCAGCTGCAGTTCCAGGAGCAAACTCACATCATGACCTGAACTGTGAGGCTCAGATGTGCTTTCCTTGATGTTCAGCACTATACAGGTACCCAGTTTTAACAGCTCTAAAGGGGTTACAGTGCCTAACTGTGTTAGTGTCGTATGTAGCTCCATTGCACCTCTTTAATTCCTGCTTTTCTCAGTTAGGTAGCCCATTGCCGGGGCACAGCGCAGGGTGCTGAGGCTGCGACCTCTCTCCTGTGCCTTTAGGACGAGCTCACACCAGTGCCCTGGCACGCCGGCTCTGTGCGGCACAGCTGATGAAGTGAAGGGACCACGTGCTGCTGGCTCTGAAGTGAAAACAATCACTCTGAAATCTCAGAGCTTCCTTAGAAATGTAAAAAAATGGGGTGGGAGCATAAGTTAATTGTGCTTTTACACACTGTTATACTTGTCACTGTGCCAGACTCTACATTTCTTCCAAGGGTGAAATGAAAACTCCAAATTCATGTGGTTATGAAACAATTTCAGTATGAGCACTCAGCAAAGAATTATAAAGTGGGAAAGACACAGTCCTGTGTCTCAGCTGGTTGAGAAGGGCATGAATTGATCAAGGCTTCTTCCAGCTTGGAGGAGCCTTCTGGAGTGTATTGAAACCATTCTGCATCTGTATGTTGAGTGTATATAAGGTACTAAAGAAAAGCTGATTTGTTATGACAATTCTTTGATTAGGAGACAACTGGCAGAAGGCATCACTGTCACTCCAAGAAATCTCATTTCTTTGCAACTAGAAATTTAGGAAAGGAGTCTGGTTTGCCCTGATTTACACCAGAATAAACTCATACGTTGGGAAGGTGACAAGAAATCACTGGCACTGGAGGGCGCTCCTAAAGAAGTAGAGATCACAGGGGGAGACCTTGATGAACAAGGACCAAGCCACCATTTTCTCTGCCTGCAGTAATGCTGCCTGAGGTACCTGAAGGTATCTGTAAGCTAAGCTGGGGTCAGCCCCACTTTGTGTTACTTCTGAGACCAAGGAAGTGCAATGCCAATTTAAAATCAGGTTTACTCTTGTGCTTCCATCCTGACCACATGTGCTTCACTGAGGCTGGAATTACAAGGTCAGTCCTGATTTGCATCACCAGTGAAAGGAGAACCAGTCCCAAATACCTGTCTCATTGGACAAGTAGTGTTTTGCTTATTTTTGTTATTAGAGATGAGTCAAAGGGCAAAAAAGTGCTGAAGGATGGGGTCAAAATACCCTGAGGCCAAATCAAAACTGGAGCCAATCCATGTTAAAAACCTGAGTGTGCCTCAAGTTAGCACATTCAGAGCTGCTCTTGTAGACACACAAATCCACATCCACGAAGATGCTTGGTAGCCTAACTCCCACTTGGGTGCTTAACTCCCATTGATAACACCATGTGCTAATTTGGGCACCCAGGTTTCCATGTAATGTTCTTACTATGAAGAACAGTTGGTCCTGAGGGAAAACATTTACATAGATGACAGCTATTTGCAGGAAAATGAAAAGTACTGGGTGAAAAAGGAGGTTTTGACATTGTGTGAAATATGGGGTTTACACACAGTAGTTTTTGCTGTGTGTATATAAATGGGTGATTTACCATATATTGATTCACACACCATTTGTAAGTGTCTCATTTATTTATTTGCAGAGATGTATGGAAACCATGGTTTGAAAAGCAGTTTGCATAACATCTGGTATGTCAACAATGTAACCTTTCAATTTACTCATTGGTGAAAATGTCAATAGAGCGAACCTGAACTCAGCATTGGTTTACACAAATTTCCTGGCAGACAAAGCAGGAATGATTTGCATGTCAGTGTAAGTGACACGTGCCCTCCCGTTTTGAGGAGCTTACACAGCTCAGAGGTATAAACAGCACAGAGCACATGGTTGGTTCCTTACAGACTCATGCTGGCAGCACAAACTGCATGTATTTGTGGGGTGTGAAACGCTATCGCATTTTGACTTCCAGTTTTTTGAAAGAGACTTTTGATTTTTCACTGCAAATGCTTTTATTTTTGTTTTTTTGTACACAGAAAAAAAAAGAAAAAGATAACAGTAAAATTGTAGACCTAACGATGGCTTAAATCCTGTTAGTATGCAATGCACGAGCATATTTTTTCAATTACTTTTACAGCTTACGTGTTTCCTACAGGCAGATACTGTACTGGGATATGAGAGAGGATTCTTGATTGCTGTTAATCATATGCCAACAGAAATAAAACAATGGTATATTATTTACACCTCTTACATTGCTGTCTGTATGAGACAGGTCACATAAGTCATGTCCTGTGACTTGTTGCCACAATTTTGAGGCAGAGAAATATTAAACTGCTGTAAGAACTGAAAAAGAATTTCCCTTAAACACAGACCCAGGTCCATCGATGGCATCAGACGTTCTTGCTTGATGGGAGGGAGCCAAGGCCTCTACAGAGAAGTCACTGCCCAGTTCTTCTCATCAAACTACACATGTGAAAAGGTAGGAGACCTGGTTTTAGAAAAATGCCCAAACTGGTGTTGTTCCTAGCACATGAAGTGACACAAGCGGCTGGCTGGGAGGACAGGTCTTGCCTTCCTCCCCTCTTCCTTCCTCTCCTGCCCTGGCACCCCATCCCAAAGGTCTGCTTTGCGTTTGGGATTTCGGTCGAGATACCAAAAAAGGTGGGGAATGGAGGGAAAAAGAGACAGTTATTTAACTGGTTTGTGTATGCTTTAAAAAAAAAAAAAAAAAAAAAAAAGAACAGATGCTATCTGTTTCCCATTGTTCTGCCCACACTATCCGGTTTGGATTTGATTTGAGTGGTGTATGTGCATGTGTATGAAGGAGGGAGGGAGTCACAGGGAAAGCTTTGTCCATCTATTATTGCCTGATAGCTTTAAAAAAATAAAAGCCTCCTGTGACCCCACACTCTCAGCTAAGAAAGACTCAAGACTAGGGTGCAGCATCCCTGTCCTGCAGTTAAGGCAGATATGAGACACTCTCAGATTTCCCAGGATTCTGTGATCTGATTTTTTTTTATCATTTCTTCAAAAATCGCATTAACTGGGCAAGCAGTTGTGATTATAATGAGATTTAAGTGAAAGTTTTTATTGAGCCATGGCATGCTTTAAGCAGATATGCAAAATGAAGAAGCTCAGTGTTTATCTAGCAGATAAGATGCATGTGAAACTGCCAGAGAAAGTCTCTGTAAAAGTTATGGGAGAAGAAGGGAAGTGATGGGCAGTATTAGGTAGGGGAAAGCAAGGCAGGAGAGGAGAAGGCAGATGAGAAATGTTTGTATTTCTGGAGAGGTAATCACAGAATGGTGTAGGTTGGAGGTTATCTGCTCCAACCCCAAAATACTTAAAGTGTTCTAGTTACATGAAGGAAGTGTAGCAGAGGACTTTATTGGCTGATGTTGGTTTTTTAATGTGCCTAAACAATAATAACAAAAAACCTATAAATACGTGAATGGCGCTGAAGTTTATTTATTTACTTACTGAGTGGCGTGGGACTCCTGCAGAGTTTTCCTTCCAGCTGTGCCGACTCAGGACCCTGCCTGACGGGAGCTCTGTGTAACGTTTCATACGACACAGAGCATAATTTAGTGTCCCGGGCACACTTCCCACTGCATTAAAATCAAATTGAGTTCTCACAGGTCACGTTGCTGGCCTAGATGGTACAGTCCTCTATGGGTCTTTCCCCTTTCCTCTTTTTGCTGCACATTCTTTTCTTTTTCTTCAGCTGGTTTGGAAAATGAGGTCACATCTGAGTTGGGTCCCTAATCCCATCAAGTTTCTTTGCTCTGTAGCCAAAACCTGCCCAAGCTCTCTTTCTCTCTACTGTATTTTCCCTGCAATGTTAACTTGCTCTGCTCCTTGTTTACACAGATGGAGGCTACACGTTTAACTGCAAAAACAAAAGTACATAACTGCATCTGCATAACTTCGGCACAAGTGTGCAGCCTCCTCTCTGTGACCCCTGTTTTGCAGCCTTAGGCCAAATTTTAGCTTCTTGGCTTCAGAGTCCTGGAAAGATGCGAAGCCCTTGAGCACCCTCTTGACTGCTCTCTTTCATTTTAATGCTTTCTTATCTTTACTGCTTTTCCATGCTTTGGACTACTGACAAAGCAAGAAAGGGCTTCTCGGGCTGAAAAACCGACATCATCACCTAAGCCTCCTAATGCATAGCTGTCAGACTTTGTGCATGCACATTGGGTTTTGATGGGGATACTGAGCCTGGTGTTCAGGCACTGCACAGAGCCCACTGGAGCATGCTCATCCCTGGAGAGCAGAGCTCTTTGCCTTGTTACTCGCTGAAATGTAGGAGGGCTGGAAGCAAGGCTTCTGATAGCAGGCGTTTGGAGGGGAAGGCTAGCAGCTGCCTCCATGCCCAGGAGGCTTCTTTCACTGGTGCTATGAAGGCAAACAGCAGTGACTTAGAAGAGGGTTTGGTCTGACTGGAAATGAGGTGCAGAAAAGAATAACAGAGGGGGAGAAATAGAATAGGGCAACAGTTAGTTCAGAGAAGAGGTTGGTATGAGCTTGAGTTTCATTTTAAGGCTCTGATTTATCTGAGCTGAGGATGGCATCAGCTGAAATTCAGAATGAAACTAGGACACAAACTTAATTGCAAAACCAGTTGAAACCACAGGATTCAGTCAAAGAATATTCTCACTCATTTGAGGCTGGCATAGGGTTTCACTCTGAGCTTCAGCAGGAGGTTTTGGGGCCCCCAAAGCAGATTGAGGGGGTTAAAATCCAGTTGTGTTCTCAAATTCAGCCCTGGACTAGCAGAAGTATCGAGGGGGATGATTGCAGAGCAGCCACATGAGCAGGAGTGACAACTGGCTGGCACACTGCTTTTCCACCTAGCAGTGAAATACGTAGGGGATATTTCGTAACTGTTAGTGTAAACAGATATGGTCATACTAAAATACCTCCATTCAATGCCATGACAATGAGTGACACCAAAAAACTTAAGGTCAACAGCTGTTTCTCTTGCAAAGAAAATGAACCAAGAACCTCAGACCTACTGAGACTGGCCGGCCACAGTGCTTAGGCTGTTCTAATTGTCAACTGGTGATGGCTGATTCCTGGAAATAACCAGAGAGAGAGAGGTCTGTTCCTAACATGAGCAGACTTGTGGTTGTGTTGACAAAGCCAAAACAACAGCTTAGAGCAAGTCATTCCAGCAGTATCATCCCCTTGCCTGTTGCTGTGTCTCTGCTTCTCCCTCGGAGAATATCTTCTGCTGAAGACATTTATCCCACTTCGGATTTCTCCCCTCGTGTCACTGTACTCTTTTGTTTTGTTTTGTTTTCTCTAAAGCCAGGCTGTTTCTGAATTTCAGGAGCCCAACGTGTACTTTTTCTGTATGTTTGGCTCTTGCCTGACTCCCTCATTACGATAGGGACAAAGACTTGCAGGGGAGACGCTGCAGAGCTTTTGGTTCCTTTGTATTTACTTTACATTTTTTTGTACTTCTTGTATTTAGCAAAGCTGAAAATGTCTGAGGTTGAGAGACATGTTGTCTTCAGACCTAAACTTTGTGCACTGAAGCTGAGGGCCTGATGCAAAGCCCCTTTGTATCAGGAAAGTGGGTGCTGCTGAGCCAAGCCAGGTTTCTGGTGGTGCATTGCCTGCTGGCATGGCAGAGAGGTGAATCCTGCTGCTGGGACAGACGAGCAGATAAAACGTGCAGATTGTTATGAAACGTGCAGATTGTTTGGTGCCTTGAGTGTTCAGACCCCATGGGAGTGAAACTGGATTTTTCACTTCTGCTTTTCATGTATGTATTTAGGGCGATGCATGTATGGTGTGGAGTTTTGCAATCAGTAGATTTCCCCATCAGGATTAGTTTGTTTCTTTGCCTTTACAAGGGCTAAATGGGCATCACTTCTGGGCAAAAGATATGGTATTATATTGGGGGGAAATCCAAGTAAAATAGTATCTGAATGTTATTTGTTTTACAAGCAATGACATGTTGGTGTTTATTATTTCTGAAGGCTCTTTTGTCAATCAGACATTAAACAATCATGACATCTGTTGCAAGTTATTGTCCCCCAGAGTCATTTCACACAGTTTGGAGTTTGCTTTTTTCATCCGCCGCAAATAAAGCCTGGAATGATCTCCCTGTCCCCACAGAGGTGAGCGGGAACCTCCTGGGAAAACACTGCAGGCTCCAAGAAGAGGTTCAGCAGAAGCAGGGGGCTGAGTACAACCATGGGGTTGGGTGGTGAAACCCAAAATCTGAACCCTGCTGAGGTCCGCAGGAGATGATAAAATAGTTGTTTCATGAAAACAAAAACAAATATCTCAACCTTCTGAACTGCTGTTCGGGTTCCAGCCTGTGTCAGGGATGCTCGTGTTGGTGTTTGCGGGTTTGCGCCTTGTTGACGCCTCCGGCGCTGCTGCAGGGAGCCAGCAGGGCCACAGCCAAGGCGGCTTTCCCTTTCAGCCCATCTGCCTTTATCAGGGAAGAAATACTGTCTGTTTGTTTAGGTGAGGTATTAGTCTGCCCCCAGAGCTCCAGGTCACTGTAAATGTAGCACGAGCCCTATTTCCTGTTAGGAAAGGGGAAAAAAATATGTCTGTGAATTATCTCTGATGTGCTGCCAATTGTCAGAGAAGATTCAATTTGGTGGAGAATTACTGTGCTCTTAAAGAGCTGCACTAGTGACAGAGATTTAGGGCAGCTACTCCTGCCAGAAATGGGAGATTTGTCTTTGATTTCCATAAAGCCAGTGTGGGGACTGGTGGCCAGTTGCCCCTTCGCATTGCTGGAGAAGTGAAGGGGTTGGAGGGGAGGACGAAGCAGCATGTCAGGTCAATGGGACTCCGGTGGGACCCTCTGTGTGGCAGGAGGGCAGGACGGGGCTTCAGACTAAGGCTGGTAGGTGCCGGGGCAAAGCTGTCTGCCTGTGCTCTGCTATGAAAAAGGAGAAATATTGGCATATTCTTGCCACTTAGCCCAAAAGCCAGACCAAAAGAGACAAGAAGCTGCTGTGTGTGTGTGTGTGATGCACACGTGTTCCCTGATAACCCAGTAAAGCAAATATGTGACCTGTGGAGTGACCCAGAGCTGCTACAACAAATAGTGGGGTAGATCACTCGTTATTTTCCTTTCTTTTGCATTTCCTGGATCAAGGCCAAATTCAGCTGTCATCAAAGTGGGGAATGTCTTCCACAAATGCAGCAACAGGAGGACAGGCAAACTAGATTGACACATTTGGTCTGTTTTATGATAGGAAAAAATACTAACAATGAAGCTGTTTCCCCTTATTTGTCATTCTGTTTACTGCGAAGAGTAACAACATTTAAATTTAGGCTTGGGTGAAGGCCCGGTGCCCTTACAAAGGTTAATGATGACAGAGTAGTCCAAGCAACATCTTTGCCTTCTGAAGCATTCATCCTCCAAACTTCTTTGTGGCAAAGAAACTAAAGAAAATATGTCTATGGACTACATCCCATGAACTTTCCCATATGTTGACTGGATAT